TCTAGTTTTCTGGACAAACTGACAAAGCAGCTTCCCCAGATGAGCCCCAAAATATTAAAAAAAATCAAAAAATTGCAGATTTAATTTTATTAAATTTTAAGAAAAAGTAAAAACATTAGAAAAGATTCAGGTGTAAAAAATTGTACAAGTTATAAGTGATCAATGACCAATTTGCAGTATTTATCCCCAAACTCAAACATAAGGGCTATTATTGCCCAGAATTTTGATCTCTTTTTTTGTAATTTACTTGGATTTGCAAGTGTGTTTGCCAGTGTTCAATTACTTTCTTTGTTCACTTCACAATATTTTACTTTTTAAATACATTTTCAAAATTTTCATTGAAAACAACCATGAATCTGGAGGTATATAATTTATATGCTGCTTTAAAAAAACATCAGATATATCAGTTAAAGCAGCATAAGTGGCTAGTACACATTAAGGAAAATTACAGTGTTTAGAGAAGAACAAAAAAACCTCTTTTCTGAATATAATTTAGAGCTGTTGCCCTTTGTCATTGTTCATACTTAAAACATGTTTAATACATGTATTTATCTACAGAATTAACTGGAAAGTGTTGGATGTATTAACTTGAAACTATAGATGGATAGATTGTGTCTTGCTTTAGAACTATGATATTTATGTGGCATACTTTTTGAATTATTTAATAAACAAAACTACCCATTTTCAACATTTATTTTAATACAGCTAAAATAGTTAAATTTCCTTTTTGTGTGCAGGTAATTTTTTTATCCAAAGGGAAAAAAATTGGGAAACTAATCTAGTATAAAAAAGGCCCGAAAAAAAATTAAAAATTTTGGGTTTAAAATTTCCATTGGGGATGAACAGAAAAGGTTTTTCTTTTAAAATAACTTCCTGGTAAATTAAAAAAAACCAAGGGTGGATTAATATCTTTCATCAAGTTCATGGTTTTCAATATAAATTAAAAGTCAAAAGTGAATCTGAATTTTTTATGGGGTTTTATTTGGGAAAACCATTTTGGGCAAAAAGTGTGAAATTTTAAAAAAATTTTTTGGTGAATTTTCCCTTTTTTGTTTTCCCCTCCTGATCTTTAAAAAAGGGTTTAAAATATTGAAATTAAATGAAAGGGAAAAATTTTTCCCAAAAATTTTTCTTCCTAAATTAAAATTTTTTAAAAATGAAAAGGGACTAATTTGTTTATAAAACCTGTCATTGTAGTAAAGGATGTTTTGAGTAGAGGAAGCAATTTAGCTAATAAATGTAAAGGTTTCAGTTAATTAATGTAAGATGCAATGTACTAGTAATTTTAATATAAGGAGTAAAACTTATCAAAAGTTGTTTAATTGGCCATATATAAACTGAACTGATTCATTTGTAATAGATTCAAGCCAGGTAAAGTGTAATCTTCTAAAATTGATAAAAAAGTAGGACTTTCAAGTTAGTAAATACGGTACTGGAAGTATGACTTCCATGTATTATTGGATAGGAAAAAAATAATCGTAAATTATACTTCCTTAATGGGTTAGTTTATATTATCATCATACATATATAATTATACATGTACTTATATAATATTTCATGTTATGATTAGGATTTTATCAATGAAAAAAGAAATGTATTTGACAGCTGATAATGTATTTATTATAAGATATAACTTAACCTTTAACCATTTACCACATATATACGCGAAACAACGCACTTTTGACCCCCCCCCCTTTTTTAGGCCTCAAATAGTGAAAAAATGTCCTATTTGGGCCCCAAACACATGTTTTCGTTTGAGAAATGTTGCTAAAAAAATGAGCACATTTTCGGCGCCGCCCCCCATCCAAAAGATACAGCAGGGGTTGCCAGAAGGGGGACGTGAAAATTTTGGACTTGTGAGAGGCTAAAAATGACCCCAGGTCGATCATAATGTAATGTGTAACCAACGCTGATAAGCCTTTGACTCTATCTCAATCCCTTGAGAAGTTTGCAAACACTTTTGAAATAAATTTTTGATGGAAAAAAAATCGAGGCAAAATAGTGATTTTGGCAATTTTGAGATGTCCCCTCGTTGCCATGGTAACAGGAAATTTAAGACTGAGCATGTCCTTACAAAGGCAGTGGTCCAGTCAACATTTGTGCCAAGTTGATTAGTATTGAAGCATTTTTCATAGTTTCATAGCATTTTGAACTTTTAACAAGAGGCTTTTCAGTGAAAACGCCATTTTTCACAATATGCTCATGGGGGAAAGGGTTAACCTGCTTACCTAAGGTGGCTACAGAATCAGTCTATGCCAGCAATGCAGACAAAGATTAGCTGCTATGTCCTTACTGTCTGACCATGGTCTGCACTGTCTTGGCTATTAAGTGAGTGGATATATTGAAATTTTCCAGAACAAACCATGAAAAAAAAATCATGTCAAATATTAAATGTTTTCACAAAAAATTAAAAATAACCCTTAATTTTTAAAAATAAATTTTGTATTTATTAAAAAAGGGGTTCATGTCAGTATTGTATGTACATGTATGTGAAATTCCCCCTTCATTAGGGAAACCAACATAAAATTTGCCCTTCCTGCAGGCAGGTACTGTGGTCAGAGCACAGAAGTTAAAGGCCTGTTATGCCTCAGAAATTCTATTGTTTTTATTTCTCAAAAAACTTCCTATTTTTGGAATCTAGTTAAAGTTTCAAAAACAATACATATTTACCACATAAATAAACAATCATTTCCTGTTGGCAATATGTATAATCATAGTGAAGGAATATTTTACTATAAGGAAGTCATATGCTACTTTGTTTAAAATTTGCTACCTTTACAACACATTATTGAACATTCAGCGCAACTTTTAGTTGTTTGTATTCTAATATGCTCTAAATCTATAATTTAAACTTTATTTAAAACAAATTTTTAATTAAAAATTATTGAAGTCAAATGCTAGGGAGTGTGACGGATTCAAAGATGATAGTTAGGGAGTGTGACAGACTCTAAGGCAATAGTTAGGGAGTGTGACAGACTCTAAGCCAATAGTTAGGGAGTGTGACAGACTCTAAGGTGATAGTTAGGGAGTGTGGCAGACTCTAAGGCAATAGTTAGGGAGTGTGACAGATGCTAAGACATTATTTAGAGAGTGTGACAGATTCTAAGGCAAAAGTTAGGGAGTGTAACAGATACTAAGGCAATAGTAAAGGAGTGTGACATATTCTAAGGCAATAGTTAGTGAGTGTGACAGATTCTAAGGAAATAGTTACGGTGTGTGACAGATTCTAAGGTAATAGTTAGGGAGTGTTACAGATTTTAATGCAATAGCTACAGAGTGTGACAAATTTTAATGCAATAGCTAGGGAGTGTGACATAATCTGAGGCAATAGTTAGGAAGTGTGACAGATTGTAGGAAATAGTTAGGGAGTGTGACAGATTCTAATGCAATAGTTATGGAGTGTGACAGATTCTAAGTCAATAGTAAGGGAGTGTGACATATTATAAGGAAATAGTTAACTAGTGAGTGTGACAGATTCTAAGGCAATAGTTAGGGAATGTGACAGATTCTAAGGCAATATTAAGGGGGTGTGACAGATTCAAGGCAAAAGTTAGAGTGTGACAGATTTTAAGGCATTAGCTAGGGACAGACTTTAAGAAAATGGCTATAGAGTTTGACAGATTTTAATGCAATAGCAAGGAAGTGTGACAGATTTTAATGCAACAGCTAGGGAATGTGACAGATTTTTATATAATAGCTAGGGAGTGTGGCAGATTTTGAAGTCTTCTTAATATTTTACAAACAGAATTTTCACAAACTACATGTATCCTCTCATAAAGAAACAGTACATAGAGACTAGTTGCTGCATACTACTTGAGCCTTTTCAAAATTAGTACCATTTTATAACAGTTTTACATTGGTAAATTGTTATAACATCAGGAAGGAAAAAAGTAATGCATTAGTATGTGGTGAAGTTTAGATTATTTTCCTCTTTTTTTCTTAAAAGTGCAGCCAAGTAAATTGCTTTTACTTATAAAAATTGTTTAATTACTGTTAGTTTAGTACCTTAGGGACATTAAGTATTTAGAACTTAAAACAACACCGAAAGTTACCAATGAATAAAAGTTTTTTGACCTTTTTACATGTAAATAAAGGTTTCCTGTTCAGATAACCAATATATAAAATTCTCCTAGCCAGGTTACCAGTCTTGTTACCCTAGTTACTAGGAAATAAAATTTGTATGATGCCAGTAAAAGTGTCCTGGGCCTAGCTGCCAGTAAATCAGGGTTCCCTGGGCTTAGTAACCAATGAATAAAGGTTCCCAGTGAATAAAAGTTCCCTGGACCTGGTTACCAGTGTATTAAGGTTCTTTGTATAAAAAGATGTTTCATGACATGTTGCCAGTGAAGTCAAGTTTCCAGTGAAGAAATTTTTTTTTGTCTTGTTTCTAATGAATAAAATTTCCTCAGCATTGTTTCAATATTGTGGCCTCTTGAATAATGCCATTGAGTCAATCTGGAAAAGCTTAAAAGTGAAAGATTCGGACAAAAAATTATATATTAAGAAAACTCCCTAAATTATTGCTTATCTAATCAAAAACTAACTCTTGTAATGCTGGAGATTATGATAAAGGCTATTGTCTGTCACTGTCTTTGGGGGGGGGGGGGGTCAGACCCAGCCCTGGCTTGATCAATCCCTGTCAACTGTCAAAAAAAACAAAAAAAACTTTTACCATATTAAAACAGATAGGGCATTTATCTTTATAAAACCATTTCTAGACAAATACAAAATATCCCCCCAGTTACTATCAAGTCTCAATTACGGTAGTTATAAAGTACTAATATTTATTATGACTTGATATCAAATGGGACTTTTTTCATGTTAAAAATCATGAGGAAATTGAATCAATAAACTAAGTTAATGACTGAGACAGAACGATGTCCCTAATGTTTTAAAATGTTAAAAGTTACTAGCATTTATAAAGGCTGTGCAAGGAGGGGTCATGTTCTTACCCCTAGTGTCTGTCTGGTACCAGCAATTGTTCAAATAAATACAAATGCTTAAGAGTAAATGAAATATAATTTTTTATTTTTTGCAGATTGTAATTTCAACGTTGAAAATCAAAGAACCCTGTAATCATCATGAGCAGATCACGCTTACCCCCACCCCCGGGCCGTAGTAGACCTTTACCACCCGAGGTAAGTCAGTTTTAGAAAGAAAAATTACGTTTTCATTACGTTTATGTTAAGATACTGTTAATGATTCCTTTATAAGAAAGTGTTGTTACATTAGTGCAGTAATGGATTAACTCCTATTATATTATATAAGGAGTTAATCTGTTACTGCACTAAGATGATGATTTTGTTTCTATATAAAATATCGTAGAGACATTTTGATTTCTTTACATTTATACATGATTAGAAAGGCAGGAACAATGGTTATAACTCGCCTAAATTTTGGGGTACAACTGTACAACCCTGGACATTTTGACAACACATCATTAGTTAAAAAAACCTGAGAGATGTTTACTTGGTAATGCTAGATACTACTATTAGTTTGTGTAACTTTGATATAGGAATTGTTATGATTGTATGTATTGCAAGTCTGGATTCAGAACAAACAAAAAATTGTCTTTATAAGCATGTCATGGAAGACAAATCTAAAATTCTCTCAATTTAATGTGCCTTGTTATGCATCATTTAAAATAATCAGTTTTGTAACATTAAATATATACAATTTTGTTTATGAATATGCATGAATATATATATATATCTTATATTTTGTAGCCTCCGTCAGGGGAGTCCGGTGATGCCCCACCCCCTCTGCCAAATAGACCCGGTCATGGAGGTAAACCAGGACATGGTGGGGGAAGACTCCCACCTCCGCCAGTACAAAATGGCCAGGTATGTACAATATGAGATCCTAAATGTTACAACATTAGAAGATAGGAGACATCTAATCTTGTTATCTTGTTGTGTAATTTGAGAACGGGATAAACCTAAATTTATGCATGTCTTACGAACAAAGAGTAAGTCTCAAATGAAAAAAATAATAAATAAAAAAATTAAAAAAACATAATGCCGATACCCCAGCATGTTAAATGTATGTTTAACAAACTTTTTTTTTTTTTTTTTTTTTTTTTAATGCGTTTATTTAAGGTCGCCGCCGGAAAGCCCATATGGGCGACCGTACACTCAAGTCGGGCCATCCTAGAGCGTCCCGCCGAGATTTTTTTCGTTGATATTTTCCAGCTTAATTGGTGGAGGAAGACCCCAAGTGCCCCTTCGAGCATTATTTCAGGCATGAGCGGGCACCCGGGGAGAACCACCGACCTTCCGTAAGCCAGCTAGATGGCTTCCTCACATGAAAGATTTCGACCCGAGTGAGGATCGAACCTACAGCGGTGAGGGACCTGTGGTCTCAAGTCAACGACCTTAACCACTCGGCCACGGAGGCCCCTGTTTAACAAACACTTTAATGTGTACAATATGTATGTTATTAAGCACACATACTTTGGCAAGGGCGTGTCAATGTTGAAGGATTTTTTAAAATTATTACATCATTATAATTATGGGGATTTTAAGGGAATTTGATACGACCTTTTGGAATATAATGATAGTGAATTTGATATAACCATGAGAACAGAAGGTAAATTTGATCGCCTGAATAAAAAGTTTATTTTACTGTGGAAATATAAATTCAATTTTATGCTTCTTTATGGGAAAATGCCCTCAGTTGATATGATCTTAAAAAATATATAGTCAATTTGATATGACTTTTATATAATTATATTATAGCAAATTTGATATCAGCTTAGGAATATTAAGTTATTATCCCCCGCCGATGAAATCGGGAGGGGGATATAGTTTTGGCGTTGTCCGTCCGTCCGTCCTTCCGTCCGTCCGTCCGTCCGTCCGTCCATCCGTCCGTCCGAATTTCGTTTCCGGAGTAGTTCTCTGCAACTAATGGCTGGAATTCAACGAAACTTTATGGGAATGTTGATAAGCATGTGAAGTTGTGCACCTGGGTATTTTCGTCTGGATATTTTTAGTATTTTTAGAGTTATTGCCCTTGACTTAGTAAAAAATTTTTTTTCGTTTCCGGAGTAGTTCTCTGCAACTAATGGCTGGAATTCAACGAAACTTTATGGGAATGTTGATCAGCATGTGAAGTTGTGCACCTGGGTATTTTCGTCTGGATATTTTTAGTATTTTTAGAGTTATTGCCCTTGACTTAGTAAAAATTTTTTTTTCGTTTCCGGAGTAGTTCTCTGCAACTAATGGCTGGAATTCAACGAAACTTTATGGGAATGTTGATCAGCATGTGAAGTTGTGCACCTGGGTATTTTCGTCTGGATATTTTTAGTATTTTTAGAGTTATTGCCCTTGACTTAGTAAAATTTTGTAATTTTCAACTTGTGTTGCATGTAACTCAAAAAGTATTTGACCTAGAGTCATGAAACTTTACAGGAATGTTGATCAGTATGTGTAGTTGTGCACCTGGGTATTTTCGTCTGGATATTTTTAGTATTTTTAGAGTTATTGCCCTTGACTTAGTAAAATTTTGTAATTTTCAACTTGTGTCGCATGTAACTCAAAAAGTATTTGACCTAGAGTCATGAAACTTTACAGGAATGTTGATCAGTATGTGTAGTTGTGCACCTGGGTATTTTCGTCTGGATATTATTAGTATTTTTAGAGTTATTGCCCTTGACTTAGTAAAATTTTGCAATTTTCAACTTGTGTCGCATGTAACTCAAAAAGTATTTGACCTAGAGTCATGATACTTTACAGGAATGTTGATCAGCATGTGTAGTTGTGCACCTGTGTATTTTCGTCTGGATATTATAAGTATTTTTAGAGTTATTGCCCGTGACTTAGTAAAATTTTGTAATTTTCAACTTGTGTCGCACGTCACTCAAAAAGGATTTGACCTAGAGTCATGAAACTTTACAGGAATGTTGATCAGCATGTGTAGTTGTGCACCTGGGTATTTTTGTCTGGATTTATTTAGTATTTTTATGAGTTATTGCCCTTGACTTAGAAAATTTTGCAATTTTTAACATGTGTCGCATGTAACTCAAAAAGGATTTGACATAGAGTCATTAAACCTTATTGGAAAGTTGCTCAGCATATTTAGTGTGTTCCTGGGGTTTCGCTTGTGGATTTATCCAGTATTTGTAGAGTTATTTCCCTTGACTTAGTAAAAACTGTTTCATTATGTTGTTATTTGATCCTTGAGTGTTAGAATCGACCAACTTTACAGGAATAATGATCAACATCACTAAATTACAGGAATAATGATTCACCTCACTGTGAAGCTATGAACCTGGGACTTTGCATGTGGATTTTTTTCAGTTTTGTTAGAGTTATTGCCCTTGAATTACAGTAGTATAAATTTGCAATTTTCAACTTGGGGTTTGCTTGGGGATTTATTCAGTATTTGTAAAGTTCTTGCCCTTTACTTAGTAAAAAGATTTTTAGTTTTCAAAAATGCAAAATTAAAAAATCTTGTCTGAAAGTACAAGGCCTAGAGCTTTGATATTTGGTATATGATATAACCTATAGGTCCTCTACCAAAATTGTTCAAATTTTAGCCCTGGGGTCAAAATTGGCCCCACTCCAGGGGGTCATAGATTTTCCTTATATGTATATTATAAGTGAAAACTTAAAATTTTTTCTTGTTTGAAAGTACAAGGCTTCAAGTTCAAAGAATATTACAGTTTATGCCATGATTAATATATAAATAAAGCCTTATGTCTTCAGTTGTTGTGTTAATAATAACCAGTACTCGGCGGGGGATATAAATTCAACGAATTTGCTTGTTTTGATATGACCTTGAAAATATTTATATTTTTCCTTACATATTCTATTGCTTACTGTGCACTTGTATGTTATGTTTGCCTATAAAAAGCAGCTTGTTCCCTCCTTTAGTTTATTATTTAAAGAAATAAGTTCATTTTGTGATTGAAAAAAAAAATTATGCAAACTGTTGTAATTTTTTATGTGAGTGTTAAAACAAAATACAGCATATTGTTAGTTCTTATGCGTTATTTTGGATATTTCTTTACACATAGATAACATTGTGCCTGTCTCAATATAAGATTTTACTGAAAATGTTGTTAATGAAAATGAAGGAGCAATCTACTTTGATGTACAATCAAGTAACATTCATAGTGTAGTTTAAGGGTATATTTAGTTAATGTACATGTCTTCATGTAGGACGAACCAGTAGACGACTATTTGGAGCCAGATGACTGGAGCAACAGCCCGCCTCCCGTAGTCCCGCCCAAAAATTTTGTATGCTTTTGTTTGAAGTTTTGCATGCTTATGTTTTGTCAATTAACTTGTTTATATCTTTATGGTTGTGGGTTTTTGCAGATTACATTTCATAAAGGCATATCACTATTTCATCAAGGCCAATCACTATTTCATCAAGGCATGTCACTCCAGTTCTGTTTTATATTCACATTCACTATTAAGTTATTAAGAAAAATAACCAGTTTCGGTATTAAATTAATTGTTACCAGTACATTTATATGACTTAGAGGGTATTTATTAATATTTTTAATAAAGTTATCCATAGCATGCATTTCAGAGATATAATTTAGGGAATGGTTTTCTAATAAATTTATAAAGTTTAAATGATTGATAGTTTTACAAAAATTATCTTAATTTTTCACACTCTAAAATTAGCACAAAATGTTCAGAGGTCTACATTTGCAATAGCGTGATATCTGAATCAATATCCACAATTTCTTTTAAAAAAAACTCTGTGAAAAAGATCTATAAAAAGTTCCAAGTCTGATGCAGAAGTAGTTCACAACAAAGAGACTTTAGAAAATTAATTGAAATCATTAAAACTCTTCTAATGCTTAGAGCTTAAGTTAAGTATTTGGCATGTAGTATCATCTTGTGCACGGTCTCCTACAAACATTACATGTATATAGACCATGCCCATATTGTCTAAAAAAGCCACACCCTATTGTGACCCAATGACTTAATTAGTTTTTGCATTGAAGAGTTATGACCAATACTAGCAATAGGTTTCAGGTAAGCGATAAATTTGACAGCTATTGATTAGTTAAAAGTGTCTTTGTCCCAAAACCAAGTGCCTTATTGTTACTCTTATATAACCGGCTGCAGATATTTATTTCTTGAACTGGAAATTAGCATCATGTTAACTCTCTCATTAAAAGCTGTAATATGGTCCAATGATTAGACTCTTTGATGTAAAGGGGCCACAGTCCTTAACTCCTTGGAGATTCATGATTTCTAAATAGATTTAAAAAAACACACAACTTTGAGATGTAAACAATGTTGTTGCTTTGTGCTTCTTTATTTCTTTAAGTCCCAGAGAATGACACTTTCTTAGCTCACCTAAACATGAAGGGATCAGAAGAGCGCTTTTGTGAAAGCATTATATCTGTCGTCTATCCAAACAACATCTTCTTGTTGACCATACTACAGTTTAGTCAGGTGACAGGAGTGAAACAATCTGCCTCCTGTAGTCCTGCCCATAGGTCTATATTTTTTAAGTAGGTGACCCCTCTAGAAAATATAAAGATATTTCCAGTCTGCTGTATATAAGTATGCCACAGGAGCAGAAAATAAATAAAAAAAAAGAAATCTTTTCAGAAACAGCAGTGCATAGAGCTAAGGTTTGTAGCATTATCTTGTGTTCTGTTACAAAAATTTTGCTAATTATGTGCCATGAGTCAAAAATGACCTAATGTGTATGTCAGTTGTCACTTATTAACATTAATTAAGACATATATCAGAAAAAAGCATTAAATTTTCTTATGTGAAACAACATGAACTAAAGTTAAGATATTTGAAACATAGCATTGTCTAGTGGACCTCTGCTCAAGTAACAAAAATCATGGCTGTGACCCAGTTACCTACTTCTGAATTTTTCGGCAATGGAGCTCAGGTGAACAATGTATGGCCATCCTGACTCTCTTGTTTAGCAATAGTTTCCTTTTAAATACTTCCTTATATTCTTCAAAGAAGGTCAATCTGATTAAAATAATCATGAAAGTTTCTGCGAGTATCTTTGGAATAGTTTGTATCATAATATTATTTGTTTCCTTAAAAATTTTTGTCAGTATCTGGGACCTAAGCACTTATGCAACTTTGTAAATTTAATGCAAAGAATTGTAGAAATCTTATTTCTGCCTTGATAAAAAAATCAAGACAGATAAAACAGATATAAATAAATACAGAGGACCTTGGTTTAAAATCTCATATGAAAGATTATATTTGTCATTTTAATTAGAGAAGCCAGGGGTGATGGGTAGGTTTAGTGTCCACCTTGCAAGAGCTTATTTTAAAATTCATATCTCTTTGGAACAAGTCAGGCAGATTGACCTCCTTCTAAGCTCACTTGAGCACAAATTCTCAGAGTTAAGCTTTTGTGATGGCAGTGTGTCTGTTCTCCGTCTTTTATCATCCGCCGTTGTACACAGTTTATTAAAATACATCTTCTCATAAACCACTTTGAGGAAACCTCACAGGAATGATCCTTAGGATGTCCTCTACAAAAGACTTATAAATGGTTCCAGTCTGATGCATAAGTAGGTCACATAAGCCAAAAATGAAATCTGTAATTTCACACGATTACTGTCAAAGGTCCATCAGCTCTAGCTTTGATTTTGACAGAATTATAGCCCTTTAATGTGAACTTAAAAATTATGGTTTAAGTTTTGCATACATTACATCAATTTTCCAAACTACTGAAGGTGTTCTTTTGAAATTTGAGATATGTATTCAGGTTTATAATTATTGGAGGTCAGTACATCATGTACTTAATGCCGTTAACTCCGATGTTGATTTTGACTGAATTATGACCATTTGTGAATTTTCTCGGTTTAAGTTTTGTATGCCACATTTATAATCAAAACAAAAGAAGGTTGTCACTAAAAATTTAATACATTCATGTATTTTGAACTATAATAGAGGTTATAATCCAAGGCCCTTAACTCTGATATAGATTTTGACTGAATTATGTCCCTTAATTAAGATAGTCTCCTAGCTAATTATTAACTATCAATCACTGAGAAAGGTCAATTGCGCTGTTTTACTAACAGAACTTAATATGGAATAAATTCACATCTTTGCTAACGGCCACCATGTTTAGGATATTTATAGTAATCATTGTCTCTAGGTGCTTTATTACATTTTAGTTTCCATTAAGATCATTTATTATATAAACTTGCATATTTTAAGACTTCTTTTTCTGTAGACTGCTATTTTATAGACAGGTTAGCTTAGTGTGTGTTATTATACCTTGTATATAATTTTGTATTGTTAGTTTTAATAGGGCTTCCAGTACTTTATTGTATTAGAAAAGTCATGTAATCAGTGTGCTTTTGAATTTCAAATGTACATTTTATAAGGTGGAATAATAAAACAATTTTGACAATTAATAGTCTCATGACAAAGTAACATTCCTTTACATGCTGAATGGTACATATCAACATCAAATATGAAATTTGAGTTATATTTTACAGACAAGATAGTAATGATTTCTGGGAGTATTCTTTACTACAATATTCTTCCTCCAATGACATATCTGACTTTAGAAATAAGAAAAAGTCAGGTGTGGCCCCCTTTTGTTTAAACATTAAATTGAATGTAAGTAATTAGGCAAAAAAACAAGTAAAGAGCCGTTAAACAGAGAAATTTTTATAAAATCATTACATGCTTTTAAGAAAAAAAGTAAAGATTTAAACAGCTCAAAAAGAGCAACTGTAGAGTGACCTTATCTGTTTAAGTCTTTGTCTTGGCCTTTCCCAATCTTACATTATAAGTGTTTTACCATACAGACATGATGCTTAAATGAATGATTAAATAAACTCTATTGTCACTCTCAGATGATGCAAAATAGACTGTCAAACATTTTACAATTTAGGCCTACAAAAACTTAATATATAATTAATATATATAAAGAATCTGGTCATAAAAAAGTTTTAAAAAGTTATGCTTATATCTCTGTAATAGGTTGGGGAAGAAATGAAGGGGAAAAAATGAGAGAAAAAAATGGATACATTTTTAATTCAAGAGAAGTACTATACTTTAAAGTCAAAATGAAATACTTGCTGCAAAAAAAGCAAGAAATATACATGTACAAATGTATATACTATTATTATATAAACATTAGTTGTTAAGGATCAATAAAGATATAGACGAAAATAATATTTTTATTCTATTAATTTACGTTTCAGTACTAAGTGGCAATTATTCCCTTATTAAACAGAATGTCTGAAGTTTGCCTGGATTTTTTATTTGCAGTGATGATTTGACTCACTCATTGCTTCCATATTGTAGCATTTGACTAAGGTCTGAATAAAGGCTGAAAAGTGCTTACATAGTTCAGACATGTTTCAAGTTTTAAAATATATCTGAAGAAAAACAAACAACAACAAAAAATAAGTTCAGTTTTCTTTCAGATTAATGTGTAAAGAAATACTAAAAGAAGGCTCTGACATATTCTGATGTATGAAGTTTAGTCTTTGATTCAGCTTCAGTAAATGCCCAGAGAAATACTGATAAATAAAAGGCTGTTGTTATATGTGTGGAGGTATTTAGATAAAACCAACTTAAAAATCTTTATATTTCAAGAGCTCTTTGTTTTTTTTTTCTTCAGACTTAATTTTAGAACCTGGGACTGTCAGAAATGTTTATGATATTCAAGACTTTTTGTGACTTTAACACTCAAGCTGATTAAAATCAGCTCCTAAATAAAGCTATGCTTTAATTAGGATCTGAAGACTACCAATAGGTTGTCACCTTCTCGTAACCTTTCATACAGCCAATGATCGGAGAGCTTTCATAATTTTTAAAGCAATGTGGTTTCCAATTTTAACTACTTTGGCTCATAGGCTGATAGAATTAATAAAATCTGATTTATTTTTTGTATAGTGTACAATTGTCTCCTCACGTCTTAACTGTTAGGGTAGCTGCCAAATTTGCATAACAAAGTATGCAAAAGACATGAAATGATGATGAAATGGGCTTATGAGTAAAAATGGTGTTTATAAGAACTAAATATTTTGCTTTTGTTACATTTCCAGTGACAATTTATTTTCGATATAGAAACAAATTAAAAATATGTTTAGAGGCTTAAAAGATTGTTATGACACAGCTACAACTGAATTTATACAAAACTCTCCACAGGTCAGATTATCAGACAAATTCCCTCTTATTTTTTCCCAATCTTTAAAGCTGCACGTCTCCAGATGAGCCAAAATAATTCAAGAAAATCAATATTGAGAAAAATGTTTTTCCAGTATTTTATCACCGTATTTCTGCAGTAAAGGCTGATAATGCACGTGTTGACCTCTTGGATTGTAAGTTCTGATTGCAATATGTAAATTGTTTTTTTTTTCTTATCTCACAATAATTTAGTGTTAAATACATTTTCAAAATTTTCATGAAAATTAACATGAATCTGGAGGTGTGCTGCTTTAAAAAAAGAATTCCCAGTTGAACTGAAATTCTTAATATCAAAACTGACAAATTTGCAGTTCATTCCAGTATGGTATCAGACAGATGTTTCCAAATATTTCACTGTCAAATTTTAATGTATATTTTATGCTTTGAATGATAATAAACAATTTTGCACTATTCGAAATACTATGCCAGAAGAGCATGAAGGAGTTTTCAAAAGGTACCAAATATTTTTCCAGCGTAATCAAAGTTTCCCAAACTGGGCAAGCTACTTTTACTCAAAATGCCTAGGAAGAGGCCTGTTTATAAATTAAAAAATTTTGGTGAGAAATTATAATGTAAAAATGTTATTTTTATGCAGACATGCCAACATCAATATTTATATATTTAATGAAGCAAAAAAACATTATTATGGCCATAGACATCATTTTATACGTGTATGTTACAGTTTATACACAAGTGAGCTTGTATAACATGATTTAATTTTGTCACCAAGTCCGTATCATTTTGCCCCCAGGCTCGGCACTTGTGTCTATTTAACAAGGAAATGAATGTATATTTTTGACCTGTCACTTGATTTATTGATAGTTTATTTGATGTTTATTATAATTTTGAAATCTAAATATCTTAAAATAAAAAAATTCAAAAATATACATGTAATGTAAAAAATTTCTTTTACATAGTATTGTTTTAAATGTGTGAATGTGATTTGAAGTACAGATTTTCTTGGAACATTTTTGTGAATTGAATATTGGAATACAATATTTTTAAATGTACTTTGCTTTAAATTAAGTTTTTGTAAGACATAATATATGTTACGTGGGGGCTGTAGTAAATTAATGGATAAATTAATGGGGAAAAAAAGTAAGTTTAAAGTGGAGGATAGAGTTGAGAGATTGACGGAATTAAGTGTTAGTACAATGGATTCTGACAGTGATTTTGTAAGTACTAGAGTCAGTGTTTTAAGATGATAATTTGGTTTTAAAGCAGCATGCCTCCAGATTCATGATTATGTTCATGAAAAAATTTTGAAAATGTATTCAAAAGAAAAGTATTTTGAAGTGAACAAAGAAAATAATTTATACATTGCAATTACACTTACAATTAAAGTGATTTACCAAAAGGAGGTCGAAATACGCAAAAATAGCCCTTGCTATGTTAGTAGTGCAGTACTAATATGGTGATAAATACTGCAAAATCAATCATTAATGGCACATAACATGTAAATTATTACTTGAATCTTTTTTAACATTTCTTAAGATCTTAGTACATTTTACTCAAGTTTGATTTTTTAAAAATATTTTGTCTCATCTGGAGGCATGCTGCCTTAAAACAATAGAGATGATATATTAGGACCATGTGCAGATTAGGATGCAGTTTCAACTCAAATATCAGTTGACCTAGATTTTGAGCAAGTGACCTTTTTTGTGATAAATTTGCACCACATATTTAATTTTAAAATGTCATTGGTGTTAAGTATAAGTTGACCTTCAGTTTGACCCTGAACGACCTTCTTTTTTGTAATTTTTGCTACAGCTTTGAAATTTGGAACAGATAAACACTATTAGATGCTGAATTAAAGTTTAATATCAGTTTTCCTAGATTCTTACTTAATGCCTTCTTTTTTTGTGTGAAATCTTCAATGTTAATATTATGTGGCATTGAGGGTCTCAATAGACAGATGAGCAATCCAAGACCATCATGGCCCTCTTGTTTTTTTTTTAAAACTAGAAGGCGTTTGGATATGAGGTTTGATATATTTATAATAGTCTAAAGCTAATGTCTCTCTACAAAAGATTTCTGGGGTCTTTCCCTCTGGGGATCAGATTAAAATGTGACCTACCATTAGAAACTTTTGTTTACTTTTCCATTCCAACAGGTTTGTGATATAGGTCTTGGAGTTTTGTGACATATTTGTATTCAATGCAAACAACTTACATTCTTTTATTTTATGGAGTAAACTGATTAATTTGTATATTAAATGAGTTTACTGATATAATTACAGTCACCAGAGAGCAGCGATGAGGACGGTCAGACGTATGAGGAGCCGGACTTACCCCCACCCCCTCCTCAGTCACGGCATCATGCACCCCCACCTGAACCTGAACCTTTTGAACAGGAAACTTATGATGATCTAGAAGATGTCCAGCCTGAACAGCCTGAAGAACCAGGGGAGGTAATGCATATTTCTTTAATAAAATTAAAGGTGAACCAGGGGAGGTAATGCATTTCTTGAATACATTTAAAGGTGAAGCAGGGCAGGTAATGCATATTTCTTGAATACAAGTACAGTTGAACCAGGACAGGTAATGCATTTCTTTAATACAATTTAATGTGAACCAGGGGAGGTAATGCATATTTCTTGAATACAATTAAAGGATAACCAGGGGAGATAATGCATTTCTTGACTAAAATTAAAGGTGGACCAGGAGAGGTAATGCATATTTCTTTGATACAATTAAAGGTGAACCAGGGGAGGTAATGCATTTCTTGAATACAATTAAAGGTGAACCAGGGGTGGTAATGCATTTCTTGAATACAAATAAAGGTGAACCAGGGGAGATAATGCATATTTCTTTGATACAAATAAAGATGAACCAGGGGAGGTTATGCAAGTGACTACATGTATATTGAAATATTTGATTACTGATAAGTTACAGAATAGTGAAGTAAGAAAATTTAATGCAAGTTTTCTGTTTTCAGACATATGATGAGTGTGACATGAAACCTTTAGCACAACAACAGCAACAACAACAACAGCAACAACAGCAGGCATACGAGGACGATCAGTGTTTATATGAGGTATATTTCGTGTTCAGTTTTTACCCATGATGCTTTTCACTGCTTTGAGTACAAGTCCTTTTTGGCTTATTGAAAGCGATGTGTAATATCAAAGTTAAACAGATATATGGTTCATACTATGGACAGTGCCTGCTTGAGGCAGAGATAATGACAGGAGCCTTGGACTATTATAAAGCCGTTATCCCATGCATGGATATTCTAAATTCACCAGTAATCTTTCATTAGTAAGACTACACTATTTCTTCGATATCTTATCCAAATAGCAATTGCCTAAAGCATATTTTGTCAGCAACTCTCAAATGCTAAATGATCAATTTTTCTCTCAAATTGTATCAATTTATTAATTATTTACTTGAGAATTTTATATCTTATTATGTGAATAATTCCTTAAAGACATCTTCTAGAACATGACGGATTTATGATAACCTGGAGGTATACTGTTATTTTACTAAATATGTTTATTTTAACAAAATTTGTAAATAAAAAATCTGGAAAAAATGTGATCATAAAAATTTGGAAATTTATGATATTATCACAAGTTTCACCATCTTGGTCTGAGGTTAGAAATTTTCTAGATTCAAACTCAGATCTTAGATATCTGATCACTGGTCACTAACTGCCACGGTGACCAATGAATCCTGAGATTCTGAGCCATATAACTTAGAGACTTGGACTAGAGATTCTTAAACTTTTCTCAAAACTCAGGATTTTCATTGGTGAGTTAAAATTTTGTGGCCAATTCTGACCAATCAAATACCTGAGATTTGTGTTTGAGTTAAGAGAATTTATTTATAATCTCAGACCTTGGACTCAGTTGAAGTTGAAAATTTGGAAAAGCTTACATTTAGTAATGTAAACCTTGCTTGATTGTTCCTTTCACTATAATTATATACTACATATTTCACATGCAATATGCAAATCACGAAACCCCTCCCTAACCTCATGAATATTCAATGTTGTAGGAGGAGCCACCATCTGATGACTATCCCCCTCATCCAGAACCAGAGGAGGAGTCTGACTGCCTGTATGAGTTTATGCCGGAGAATGAAGCTTCACCGTCACCACCACCGCCACCAGTGTCACACCATAGACCTAATATACCACTCCCACCTCAACCAAACTCTGCCCCTAGTCTCCCGGCCAGACCTCCACCTACAAGGCCTCCAGATAGGGTATATGATTGTCTTATACATGAACATAAAGGTTTAATGAATTGTAAATAATCTCAAAGGGATATAAAATCATAATTTTGGTAAAATATTAGTTACTTTATGTATTTATGTTGATTGACATGGTTATAAATAATAACTGGAGAGCAAAAACGTTGATGTAATTGGAACAATCTTCACAAAGTGGCTATGGTGAGCAGTTGTGATTGCTAGTTGTCAGTCTTCCATGTGTCCATCCATACATGAATATTTTCATATCATCTCACATGCAGATTTATTTTTTATTTGATTTGAACCAAACCGGCACAAAACCAGCTTTATCCCGTCATGTATTGCAGAGTTCTGGCCCCTGAAAGAACCTAAAATGTATAAATTGACTGTATCCAAATGAAAGCAATTTCATTTTCTAGTTTTACTTTAACCAGACTTGTATAGTACTAATATTTTTAGATCTTGGTTCTGTTTTTTGAAGAGACCAGATTCCATCAAGTATACTGGAGTTATAATCCCTAAAATAAATATTTATAAAATCAAATAACAGAATAACTAAAACTGAATGTAATATTATTTTTTCAGGATCCCAGTCCAGAGTCAGTACCAGGTAATTCTTGTTTCTTGCATGTTTTTCATTTTTGACTATCAGCAATGATTTGCTACTGTATGGTAAAGTTTTAAACTGTTAACCTGCTTGACCAGAAAGAAATAAGCATTTGCCTCGAGTATATAGCCAGGCCAGCCTGCACATCCAAGCCATCTGACCAGGCTCTATACTGGTGGCTGACTAACATTAAATTTTCATCTTGTCAATCCCTAAAACTGATAATGGGCCATCCCATAAAGTAGAAGCTGGGCAAGTCCATTTAAGAAATTCAGCAGGTTAAGGGTTAAAAGATGACAAAGTAATAATGTTATTTGTTGATGCCTTACCATACTTCAGGTACATTAAAACACATCATTTTTCTTTGGCACTTATTGAACAGCCCTTATAATACAGGGAATTTTTTTGGCTTATTTTATAGACGGTAGTTGGTCATATTCTCAATTGATATTCATATTCTTTTCCCAATCCACAGGAAAAATTCCCAATTGAAAGTTTCAAAATAAAAATATTGAATAAGAAATAAGGGCTTCTTCACTGTTATAGTTCTTAAATGTTTTAAGATGCCAGCCTAGACAGTGATTGTTTGCATTCATTAAGTCACTGCAATTTTAAGTCATGCATTTTTTCCCCAATTTTTAACAAAACATTGCTGAAAAATACAGTAATAGATTGATAGATTTTTTTTAGCAGAATGGTTTGAATTGGAGACCTGTCAGAGGACATTCCTTGTACAATATTTTGAAATTTTTACAAAATTATTTAGCTGTTGTTTCATTTATTAAAGTTGTAGACTTTATAATCTCATGTTGACAACTTAGAAATAGTCCAGGGACATTGTCTTAATAGATAACTTAATGCTGGATTTGTGTCCATTTTTTGTCATGCTATGAATTTTGAGCACTCAAATAAAAGTTTTAGTGATTTTAATATTAGAGTACAAAACTTCAGCTACCAACACTATAGTGCCTTGTCAGCCCTCACAGATTTACAGGCTGGCCTGGCTCTATACTAGTGACAAAAAGTAATCACTTTGTTACAGCAGGTTATGGCTTAAGTTTTGTTTTTTACATTTTAATGTTGAATCTCAAACATAACAATTCTAAAAAGGGAAATGTCATAAATCCACACAGTGCCAAAGAATTATGTTTGTATTTTGTAATTAATTATTGGGAATATCTCAGTTACTATGGTAAGCCTGATGTTAAGTGAATAGGACTTGTTTTTACTAATTTAGTTGATGGTGGTAGTAAGGTAATATGTTTCTGTGTTGTCTTACTGTACATTGCAACAACTTTCAAAATACAAATACATGTGTCTGTCAAAATGCTCTTGTGGTTAAAATGTGATTTGTGTTTAACTCTAGAAGTCTCTGTCCACTATCCTTGACCCTTTTTTGGAATGCCTCTTGGAAAAATAGGCAGTGTGTTATAAAAAGTGCAGGAAGTGCATGGCACTATTGTTTCAATTTTTGTGTTTACAGTGCATGCATAATGACTTTGATTTTGTTTTAGGTAACATAATTTTAGAATTTTCAATTTGAATTTGTGGTATAACAAAAGTTTGAGAAATCACAGACGTGACAAAGAGGACTAAAATTGTTCAACTCGAACAAAATGTAAGGGGGACTTGGTTGGCCCTACTGAAGCCAGGTGGTAGAAAGTGGTAGAATTTTTTTTTCTGGGAAAGTCATTGGCTTTAAAAATTGGTGCAAAATTCTTCCTCTATGAGATGGCTTTGAAGACAGGTGCAGAATTTTCCTTTAGGAAAGTCATTGCCTTTAAAGACTGGTGCATCCTTTGGATATATATATATTCACAGATGTTTTGAAGGGAATAGGAAGGACATTTACTGTCACAATTCTGCAATTTCTTTGTTCATTATAGTGTATTGTTATGTACATTATGGAGTGTGATAAGAGCTGTGATTTTATGTGACTGAGCTGTGGTTTTATGTGACTGAGCTTTGGTTTTATGTGACTGATCTTTGGTTTTATGTGACTGAGCTGTGATTTTATGTGACTGAGCTTTGGTTTTATGTGACTGAGCTGTGGTTTTATGTGACTGAGCTGTGGTTTTATGTGACTGAGCTTTGGTTTTATGTGACTGAGCTTTGGTTTTATGTGACTGAGCTGTGGTTTTATGTGACTGAGCTGTGGTTTTATGTGACTGAGCTGTGGTTTTATGTGACTGAGCTTTGGTTTAATGTGACTGAGCTTTGGTTTTATGTGACTGAGCTGTGAATACTTGTGAATGAGGTCTTATTTCATGTCACTTAATTATTATTGTTGTACCTGAGCTGTAATGTCATTGAACTAAACTGTTACTTTAACAGTCTGAGCTGTCATGTTACTGGTGTGTGTGGTTGAGCTGTTATTCATGTTGCTAACCTGTAATTTCATTTAACTAAATTATCACTTTGACTATTGGAGCTGCTCTTGAGCTGTCAAAAATGTGACTGAGCTTATGTTGCCGAGATGTTACTTTATATTGCTGAGCTGTTATTTATGTTGCTGAGATGTTACTTTATATGGCTGAGCTGTTTTTTATGTTGCTGAGATGTTACTTCATATTGCTGAGTTGTTATTTATTTTGCCAAGATGTTACTTCATATGGCTGAGCTGTTATTAATGTGGTTTAACTGAAGAATATGTGGCTGTGCTGTGATTTCATTTGACTGAACTGTTATTTCAAAATGTGACCGAGATGTTATTTATGTTGTTGAGGTGTTACTTCATATGGCTAAGCAGTTATTTATTTTGCTAAGATGTTACTTCATTTGGCTGAGCTAATATTTATGTTGCCAAATGTTACATCATTTGGCTGAGCTGTTATTTATGTGGTTGAGCTGTTATTTCATTTGATTGAACTGTTATTTCAAAATGTAGCTGAGCTGTTATTTCATTTGGTTAAACTGTGATTTCTGAGCTGTAATTTATGGGGTTCAGCTGAAGTATATGTTGCTTACCTATGATCTCATTTCACAAAGCTGTTTTTATGTGGTTAAACCAGTAGCATATTTGGCTGAGCTATGATTTCATTTTACTGAGATGTTATTTTATGTTGCTGAGCTGAGCTGTTATTTCATTTGATTGAGCTGTAATTTATGTGGTTCAGCTGAAATAAATGTGGCTGAGATGTTATTTCATTTAACTGAGCTGTCATTTCATTTAACTGTGGTTAAGTGAATTCATATTGCTAGCCTGCCTTTGAGATGTGTTTATACAAACACAAAAATATATGACTGAGATGGTGGTTACGTCAACATTGTAAACAAACTACAAAGTTCCAGTCTCAGTTTGTTAAATATTAAATCTTAGTGTAATATTTGTGTATAGAATACATACATATATAATCTAATGAAAAAGTGAAATATTTCATCTTAGCCATATATTATAACATGACTGCATGAGCTTTGATCACACTTTTATTGAAATAACGGCCATATAAAAGTTGGATAATTATGATGAAACTATAATTCAAAAAAATATCAGATATCTTTTCTGTAGTAGATTGTATGGTATACATATATTTGTAATTACATATGTATGCAACAAATGAAATTTGATTATAGAAAATGTTTATCTGTATGTAAAAAGATGGTAATTTTGAAAAAAAAAATCATTTTTATTTATTTGGCTTCTTTCTAGTTTTTGTTTGTTTGTAAGATGTTATGATGAATTATCAATGTTAGTGGCTAACACAATTTTAATTTTTCTATTTCATTTATTTATTTATTTTTTTTTTGGGGGGGGGGAGGGGAATTAGGAGGATTGTTCATTTTATCCCAATAGAATACAACTTTTATATGGTCATTGTTTCACTGTGCACTGCATGCAATGGAAATGTTTTTATAACATACTTGTTTTTTGGTTCTTGTCAAGAGCTTCCAGGGAGACCGGCTCAAACTGCCAAATTGGCAAGGAAAGTATCTGGTGAAGGGCCACAAATTGGTATTTCTTTAGAACAGATTGGTTTCAAAAGGGCCAATTTGAAAAAGGTAACTGACGAGCCCATAAAGCCGGTAAAGCCACAAGAGCCAGTTTCAAGAGATGAACCTGATGAAAGTTCAGCTGATTCAAATTCAGTGAAGGCTCGAATCAATATGTTCAAACAGGCAGAGAAAGGTATATTAGTTATGATATATGTATATATATCAAATAAGTGTTGGAGCACCACACTAAATACCGTATTCTGGTAAATACCAGACAAGGCACTCGAATGATTAGATGCTAAAGTGTTGCCTTTTCACCTGCCGAAATGCAATTTAAGATGTCTAATTCATCCCTTCACACCAATTTATCTACTTAAATGAAAGAAAAATGAAAGAATCGGCAAAACAAGTGATATTTTTCTACTTTATAAACATGATTTCTGCAAGGGTCTAGAGGTACTGCTCCAACACTGTAGTGAGTTAAATCTGTCAACTTGTATCATAGTAAATATACATCTGTATGCCCATTAAAAATGACAGAAAGATTTTATGCAGAGCGAAAATAGTGTATTTTTATGGTCACTGATTTCAAATCACAAGATTTATGGTGGGAAAATGAATTTCTTTCCCAACAGAGACTTTGAATTCTTTCATATGAGGATTTTGGCATCAAGCTAGCTTACTTGACATGGTGGTTCTACCTGTTTGCACACTTTTTGCCTGATAATATTTATGTATTATAAGGAGTGTAATATAAGATATTCCTTCGCCAGTAAAGCTGGAAAGTAGCATTGTGAAATTCCTAAGATTTCTTGTACAAATTTGATTGGCACAAAGTTTTATAAAAAGAAAAACCTTGGGCAATGTTCATTTTAAGCTTTACTCCTTAAAGAAAAGGGAGAGCTATTGAACTCACTGAGGTCACACTTTGAAGTGTCTGATATATATTGTTTTCCATTTTCATCATAAAATTTTGATGAAAAGCATTACAACATTTATGATGAAAACGGAATCCGATACAATATAACAAGTTCTTAGCAAGACCAATACAATATTCTTGTCAGCTTCCATTTTGTTTGTCTAAAGTGTCAGTTTCTTTGTCATCTCGGATTAGATAAGATTTCAATGCGCCCATATTTTCAGCTCAATTAAATTCGCTGGCCATCTGGCATCCATAGTCTCTTTTCAGTTTTCACATCACCTTTGATAACACTTGGCAGGGATGTCCGTTCAAATAAGCCCTATTAAATTTGCTTGTATCATTTCATTTCATTCCATGCAGACCAGACTGTTTGCCATGGCAACCAAAAGCAGAATTTAGAAAAAAAAACTTAATGACCAAAACCACAGCTTTGATTTTCAGATAATACGGTAGTATTGTACAGGATTTTTATGGCCAAGATCTTAGATATGTGGCAAGATGCATTGCCTGATTGGCCATCTACAAAAAATATATGAATAATGCCCCTTGTGTAGTACATTGTCAAGGGACATAGTTTTTAAATTTTTAACTTCCAATTATTCATATTTACATTATAAGCTTTGCACCTGTCTGACATGACACAGTCCCATGACACATTTAAAATGAAATCAATGCTGACTTACAAAACACTTATACATGTACCTTCTTAATGGTTTAAAATAAGTTTAAAATCTTTACACAATGTGAGTATGATAGACTAATTTAATGGGCTACTGTAAAATGACATGTTGGTGCTGATTAAATAAATTAAGTGTGACAGTCTGAGAGTTTGAAAAATGTTTCATAAGGTGAAATATAATTTCAGCTTAATAATTGTATGATGTCATTGAAGTGACATTTTGCCCATCAAAGGGTATATATTTCATGAACAGGTGAAATACAAGACAAAATAAGTTTACAATTTACACATGGAAATTTCTATAAATATCCATACAAATTTACTTGTAACGTTCAATTTATAAAAAGAGTGGGGCAGACTTTTTATATTTTAGGCAGATCTACTGTGACTTTATGCTAAACATTTTTAAATATCATCTGTTGCTCTTTCACCGTTATAACAGTCAGTCTGTTGAAATATATTGGTGATAGACATTATCTGGAAACACAATAAATATGGGTTTTTCCCATCTAATCTGTAGGTACAAACTAACTGTAACCTGTCACAATAGATAAGTCAACCTGTTAGGCTTATTTTTGAAGTTATTTAACTGTAAAAGTTTGTTTGTACCTACAGATTAGCTGGGAAAAACCCAAATATTTTTAATTCCGGAGTTTGTCTATTCAGCTCAACTTGACAATGAAATTTTGAGCATAATGTCACTTTAATATGCATATTTTTCATATATATTTTTACTAATATACATATTTTTATGTTACAGATGACTCTGATACTAGTGACACATCAGACTCCGGAGACTTCCAGTCTCAGATATCAAAAGCAAGAGGTTCACTCAGATCAAAGACCCAATCTAAAAATAACTCTCCTTCAGTTGCCATAGAAACACAAAAAAATATTCCAACTGATATATCCAAATTATCAATCCAGGAAAGAATTGCTTTAATGAAAGGACAACCTATGGGTGACCACAAGCCTATCACACCATTAAAGCCGAAACCGAATGCCAAGCCCACCCCTACTGCCAGACCTACCCCACCTTCAAAACCCTCTAAGGCACAGCCTTCATTTAAGCCTCAAACACCATTTAAACCAGTCAAACAAGTAACAAATTATCAAGCACCTAGTGCTGTTCCACCACATTACACGTCACAATCTCAACATGTTGAGGAGCCATCCAGTATTCATCAGAATACAACTTGGAGTCAGCCCGAGACTATGGTAACATAATTCCACCCCTGACTATATCACTTTCCTTTTTTGCATGTTACTATGGTAACGAGTCTAGATCTAAGTGACCTCAAAAACCTTTCCTTAAAATGTTCAGTTCTACTTTGCATGCATTGCGTATTTGCTCATTCATCTGCTGATTATTTCAGAGCTGTATGAAGTTGTAGACTTATAGTTTGTATATAAAACTATTCTTAGATACCTGATTGATATATTGTAAATTTGATAAACTTTCTCAACATTTATTGATGAGCAATAATTTAACTCACTCTATAGGCGACAGTTTAAAACAAAAATCGAAGTTTTTAAGTTCTTATTGTTTTTCTTATTTGTATTGTCACCTTTATCAGGTTCCTGATTGTCTTTCCTTCTACAACTTTTGCTCCAATTTTTTCAAATAAAATACAAGTTTCCCCCCAATAGTGATTAGTTCTCTAAGAGCCTCTATGATAATGTGAAACTTTTCATATTTTGTCACAATGCTGTATCACTAGTATATCAAAACTTTACATTTTGAATCAGTTATTTTAGTACATAATGTACAGCTGTTAAGATATGGAAAACCCTTTACCTATCAATAAAAAGTCTGGCATACATAAATTCCCTGTAGATATATAATTTAGCTGTTGCCGACCCAATACCTGAATCTGAAAACCTGCTTTACTGCATCATGACAGTGTTAAGGTTAAAAATGGGCTTCACTTGGCAATTTATCAGAATTTCCTTTTCCTTTTCAGAAAAATAAATCATTTTCTGTATGATTCGAGTCAATCTGTAGTTGAACTCTTGCATGGAAGTATCGAGTTTAGTAAAACATCTCCCAGTTACTTTAATGTTCTTAGTGGAAATTTTCAATTTAAAAGTTTTGTCATAGTAGCTGTGTATATATTCCTCTCAGCAATGTTTGCTATGAATTTCTCTGTAAGGACATTGCAGGTTGCTAGGCAACCGTGTCCGTTTGTTATGTAGCAACTGTGGTTTAGAAAATTTTTTGAACCAAATTTTGGACTGGGTTTACAAATTTAAATGAAAACAAAAGTGCGTGGTTTTTCGTGCGGGCTTTTCTAATTTTGAAATACCTGGTGAATTAAAGAACACACTTCAATTCAAGTTTAAAATGCTTAGATGCTTGGAACATTAAAGTAACTTTGAGATGTTTATTTATTGACCTCAATGTTGCATTTATATTCTATCATTCTTTATTTCAGAGAGGATGTCATTTTTTGTAATTTTTTTTAACCTGTAATTTTTGCATGATTTGGAAATAACTTCTTTCTATGACTAATTTTTTATTATAAGTGGATTTAATACCTCATGTTTACAGGAGTAAAACCACCGCTGGCAACGAAGCCATTAACATCTGTAAAACCTCAGATATCCTCTGTAAGATTTGTTCTGTAGATATATACAAGATTTAACCTAGTGCCTACCTTAGTGCCTACTCACTATATACTCTTGTGTTGTTGTTGTTGTTTTTGCTGTTTGTAGTGTTGAAGTTTTGCAGCATTGTTTTTTGTTATTTTGCTAAAGTTAATTGCAGAGTTACTGGTCCTGAATTTAGAAATTGATGATTGAAAAATGAATTTTTCTTAATACAATGTACTACGTCTTGACAATATAGATACAATTAAATATGTACATAAAGTGAAATGAAATTTAGACATTTTTACACCAAAATAAGACATTAGTGTTTGATTTATAGTTATTTTGAGCAAACTTGAAATCACAGAAATGTATAACCATTCCATGACATTTTTAACTCTGCCATTATTTTCTGTACCTTGTCAGTCCTAAGTTTTTTGAATAGTTGATTTGAAAATAATGTTTTCTTTTTACATAAATCTTGATGTATTTTTATTTTTATTCAGGTGTCAGCTTTCTATATAGTCCCATAAACTATGCAGGAAAACATGCAAGTTCACTCGCTGTTTGTTCTTGTAAAAGGGTTAATTTACAAACACTTGGGTTTTGGATTTCTGATAGAGTTACTGCCCTTTCTTGATATCTAACCATTTGCATAGTGAATTTAATGGAAAAAAATATTATTTTAAGAGCAATAGACATAAGTTCTCAAAATGCCTGTAAATTAAATGTGTACCAGGCAAAATTGATATTGTATCTATTGCTTGCAAAGGTGACAAAGTCCAAGTGTTTTGGGGAAAATGTTCATTGTTTACCATTTGATATACTTTGTCTAGTCAATGTAAAATGGCCATTTTAATATAATGACTAAAGCAAATATGGTAATACTCTTACTTCTGACTGAAATGTTCCTGACTTAATTGTTTTGACTAAAAGTTTCTGACTAAATGGTTCTGACTAAATGGTCCTAATACTAAAAGGGTCTGACTAAATGGTTCCTAATTAAAAGTTTCTGACTAAAGGTTTTCTGACTTAATGGTTCTGACTTCTTCATCCTTTTAAGCTGCAAAATAGTTTTAGGTTTGATAAGGTACTGAAATGCTTCAAAATTTAACCTTTGTGCTGATTTTTTTTTCTTTGTTCATTTGCTTGCTAATAACATTTAAATTCACAATGTCATGTTTTGATTGGATGCTAAAAATATTGCAGGCCTTTTCGTGTTTGGTGCCAGAAGTCAACAGGTTGATATTAGTTTTTGCTTGATTCCTGTAATCTGAAAATATATGTGCAGGAAATATAGTTTATTTATATTTTCCCGCAGATGATATAAGCAATTTCAAAATTTGAATGTAAAATAGCATGTTTCAGGCGGAGAATGTTAATACTAGGTACTGTATGTAAATATATAGTAAATAAGCTGTAAGTTTGATAATGTGCTTGCTATACCATTGGCTTACATTTGCCAAACTTGCCTGTTCATCCATATGACTTCATTAATCAGCCAATCAATTTATTTTTAGTTCAATTTTGATGTTCCTGAAGTTCTCTTTTTAACTGAGTACCTGACATTTTTGAAATTTTCTTTGCAACTAAAGTAACATATTTAAGGCCAGAAAGATTTCATTGGAATAAAAATAACTCTTTGAGTTCAGGCAGCTAAATCACCTGTAAAGAGTCACAGTCTACAGTCATGTAATTTGATCCTGTATTTCATACTGAAATCACTTAACCTAATAATGGACTATTCCGGATTCAAAGCAGGCTTAAGTCCATTGCACTAATTTTGCATGGTTAGAATAAAGCAATTCTCAATTTATTCCTAAGCCTATGAAAAGTTTGTCTTAATCTCTACCTGAAAACACAAAACACATGACAACAAAGCATCTGCCGTCTGAAGTTTAACATAATAAATGCGGCTATGCCACTAGCAACGCCATCCCATAGCGCAACAAACAGCAGCATTATGTTGCTGTCAACTGTTACCATCTGACAAAAGGTACATGTATATAAATGTGTGTGCTGAAATACAGATTATTGATCTGACAAGTACAATAGGTACCAAATTGCATGGTATCCAAGACACTGTCGCAGCCTTAATTTTATTTTGCCAGGCATCCATTTATTGTCTGCAAATATTTTTAATCTTAGATTAAAAAGTGACTAATTAAATTTGTGTTTATAATTATTTATTTCTGTTTTATCTCTGTTTTATTTGTAGCTAAGATTTTTACCTCAGATTTGCTTTATTCTTACTTGTTTAAATAACATACGGAGAACATAAAAAATGTGTATTTATAGTAACAAGATTCATGTTGTGTGCTTTAGTTGTGCTTATTGTCTGCACTATTATGTCAGATATTGGAACCTTGGTTAAAAGAAACAACCAAAATTTAAAATTATAATATTTATATAAGATTTTATTTATGAATTATAATTATTCACCTTGTTATATTAACAAATTGCTTTCTGCAACATTTTAAAATGCACACAAAATTATGTCTAAAAGAGAATAATGTAATTACAACTTTGCTTTATTAAAATTATTGATTCTTAATAAATATTGTCATGGAGTATTATATAATGGTACATGAAGTACAAAATCTCAGTTTGATAACAGATTTATTAAATAAAATTTCATTGTGTTCAAATGTATGTATAATTGATTACTTATTGCAAATTTAATGACTGAAGTTATGACTGACTTATTTTGAAAACAATGTGTAAATTACTGAATAAGTTTTATTCAAGGTTCCAATCTCCTACTTTAACGCTTTTCTTACACTAGCCAGTACTCTGTGTGTCTTTTCAGGACCCAAGCCCTTCCTTCCAGTGAAGCCAACCATTTCCAGTGCTACTATTTACTCAAGGAATAATGGCCCGCCCCCAGTTCCGCCTTCTAGAATATTGGGACCACCTCCTCCCCCTCCCCCTTATGCTATGTATAAGGTGTGTCTTAAATAACATTTAGCAAATAAAAAATGTATAAAGAATATTATTAGATTTACAAAGTAAGTTTTCTTTCTTTCTTAGGCCCACGTTTATTTAGCCTTTTGATGTTTTATACAGTCATGTTTTCTTATATAAATTATGATTTTTTTCTTGGTCATATTTTGTTTTTTATTGATTTTTGTCAGTGAAATATTGGATTTTTTTGTAGCCTTCACTGTTGTGTACATTTATACAGAACGTAGCAATACTGCAGTAGTAATGAAGGACTTTGTCTACAATATTCTATTGCCATTTCAATGTAGAAACTTTCATGAATTTTATCATAATTATTATCACACGACCTTATGCATCTAACATTGCTTTTCCTTATTTCTGTGTCTGTTAAATTATATGTATGCATAGTAACTGCTTTTTAGTTTGACCTTTGTAACCTCTGTTGCTATAGTGAACTTTGTTCCTCGCATGGCCTGATTCATATGTTTGCATATGATGCATAATTATAGTGTGTAATAGTAGTTTGTTTTTTTTTTGTGTAGTTTTTTTTTCTTGGAAGATATTTATTTTTAGTACATGAATTTTTTATGGAGAAAAAAACGAAAAACATTTTTGATTATAATAAAATTAGATCTAACATTAATTTGTCTTCTGATTTATGAAACAGGCTTTGCAAAGAATAACTACCTAACTTCTTGTCACAAAAAAAAACTTCTTGTCACATTATTTCACAGACAGTTCATTGATTATGTAGATTTCCTTGATATGTTATCATTTTTTTATTTTTTTTTTATTTTTTTATTTTTGCTGTAAGACAATTGTAAATACTTTTATTTTCAAATCTGTTTTATAAAATTAATCTTAATGATAATAATAACTGCTTAAAGGAACTCCACTGAAGTCTGAAAACCTAAAAATGTAAAATTTGAAATCATTTCTTACATAGATCAACTGGGGCACTAATAAAACAGAAAGATAGGCAAATTATACTAAAGAAATACGCATGTACTAAAAAATAAGTTGAAAATTGTATTCTTCTGCTACTGTTAGCCTTATTTGCATTAAAAAAGCATTTAAACGCTTTTCAATTTGAGGTCATTTGTCACAATAAGGGTAATTATTCTGGAAAAATGGAATGAGCAATTGATCTGCAATTTTGCTCACAAGTTATTTGTCTAGACCTACATCAAATGAAACTTAAATCTCAAAAAATTATATACAGTCCAGTCATTTAAAAAAAAAAGAAAAAAAGAAAAACCAGTCGAGTCCCTTTAAGTTTTTTTTATTATTATTAAATAATGAAATTTAATTATTAGATTATTGCAAGATAATATACAATATAAAACAGTTTAAAGTTTTAAGACATTGTGATATGTAAACAGTAACTTGGATTATAATTATCGGATGATTTGGGTTTGTAGAAGCCAGCTGAAGTGAAATCCCCACCTCCACCAGTGAAATCTCCACCACCACCAGTGAAATCTCCACCCCCGCCAGTAGTTCCCGCCCAAAGTTTTGACGAATGTGATGATATTTATGATGAAGGCTTCAGTTTTGTTGTAAGAAATTTTGAAATACATTATTAAAGGGTGTTAATCTATAATTCACAAATCTTAATAACAATATTCTGTTAAAATGTTATAAACTACTTTCGACTGCATTCTTAAGTTCTTTTTTTTGTCATTGTTGGCAAAAGAAAAGTTCCTCCTTGACCTTTGCTGTCAAGGCATATTTTATGGACAACGATTACCATGTCTTCTTCTGTTGTTACATTTTTATAACCCTTTAAACAAAATTTGAAACACTTGCCCCTCACCGCTGTTGGTTCAAACCCGACAGGGACTTTGAATTTTTTTATGTGAGGAAGCTATCCAGCTAGCTTATTGAACGTCAGTGGTTCTATAATAATAATGAAATGATGCATAGAAGGACACCTGAGGTCTTCCTCCACTGTTAAAGCTGGAATGTTGCCATATGACCTATAATGTGTTGGTGTGACGTAAAACCCAATCAAAGAAACAAAGAAAGTTTGAAGGGGGTATACTGGAGTCAGCTTATGTCTCCTTGGCATTCTATCAGTTCTGCACTTGTAAGTACAGGACGATTTGCGTACAAACAAGTAAATGTTACTCTTCCTGCAATAAATTATTATGTTTGTACCAGCTGGTAGCTATGCATTCCAGCTAACCTTCCCCGTAAGCAAAAATTATGTATTTTTTTAATATTTTACTGCAAAATCAAATGATACGAGATCAGATTTACGTATATTTTTTCAGCCTGATCCAATGAGCAAAGAAGAATGGTACCATGGTGAAATAGAAAGAGCAGACACAAACAATAGATTGATGTCCATAGGACAGGTGTGTTATTGTTAGTTTTGGATACATGTCTGTGGATAACCTAGTTTTTGTATGATAAAAAAATTATTTTTATGTGGCCCAGTTTATAAAATCTTAATGATGTTAAGGTAATATACCACTTAATAATTATTTCTCAAACATGTATCAGCATTGGGTCACTGTTCACTTTCCAAATTCTAGAAACTTCAAAAAAAAGATTAATCCTCCTTCCCTCGCTGGAAAAAGAAATAGAATAAATAAATTGAAAAACAAAATGAATTAAATTCTGCAAATTAAAAAGTAATGATGGTTTGGATAATTAAAAAAATCATTATAAATTATTTCCATGGTAATGTGTAATTTAAATTTTTTGATACAGGATGGGACATTTTTGGTGCGTAAAAGTAAACAAGGAGGAGACACACAGCCTTATACTCTTGCCGTCCTTTACGAAGGTCATGTATACAACTTGAAGATGAGGGTCCGTCCAGATGGACAAGTGGCACTTGGTGAAGAAAAACCTGATGAACTGGTCAGTGAATTGTTATTATTCATATATAGAAAAAAGAAATTATTTCTAAAGGACAGCCTTATTAGTTGAGCGTGAAATTTGCACATACAAATTGATGTACCTATACCATAAGTAAAGTGATACTTGATAGATTTTAAGTCACCTCAAAACAACATGCAAAAGTCATATGTTGACTTTATTCCCAGATTTACTGGTGCAAAAAGACGTGCAAGGAAGCTATTGGGCTAGCATTTGAAAAATTGGTAGTCCTACTCAGTTCACTGATTTACTTTAATTTAAACAATGGCAGGCACCTGAGTAGAACTTCCAGAGTTTCAAATGCTAGCAGAATAGCTTACAGGGGCGTAACTAGGCGTACTCCTGTACGCCTGTGCGTACAAATCAATCCTGTTTTCAAAAAAATCACATCCGCTAAAAGTTCTAAAAAAGTGATAAAAACATAGGGGGTAGTGTGGTCAGGGCACATACAGGCCTACTGACTCTTTCGACTTAATCATTATATAAATATTTCATAACATTTACAGTATAAATTATTATCTTTTAAAATGATCTATATTGTGATATATTGTACAGATTCAACGGAGGAAAGTTATGAAAAGCTTAAGGTGTCTTGTTCAGAACCTATTCTTGGCCGAGATATTCCCCTAGCATTGGCTTGGTGGCCTGTTTTTGCGCAACGTGCTTATTCGGCGCGCAGATCGCCCGCAATATTTTTTCCCAAACTTTTTACTATTTCCGTATCGCCCCTTTTGTGTCCTCTTCTGCTTTTGGTTGGGTGCCTTCTGGGTGCCCTGCTGGTTTTGGCTGGATTATGTAGGGGCTGAGTTCTGCCAACGTTGCCTTGAATGTTTGATTTTTAATCTCATCTTTTAATCAGAAACAAAGTAACAAATTGGGTAATTTCTCAATGGCATATTAATCAATTGATTGAGAGAATTACTTTGCCGTGCCAAAAAGGGCAGAAAAATACAAAGAATGTACACTTCCTTCTCAATTTTATGCAGTTATTTAAAAGAATAGTAATATTCTAAAATAAGTTGTTGAGATTAAATTTATTATTCTCTGTGGTCAGCAAAACATTGCGATGAGTCATCAAGAAAGTTACATCATTATTAAAGTCGTACATGCATATATCTGCTTATGAATTTACTTTATCACAAAAGGTCTTAATGTATTCACATGATCCACATAATCTATGTTATATGCAACAATTTTTAATTAATTTACTGACATTTCTGAAAGGAGATTTTGAAATATCTTTGCATGTAATATAACGCGTTTTTTATATATACATGTATTGTAATGTAATGAAATATTTAACAGTCCAAAACAGTCACTGAACTTAATCACAATTTTCACACCATTATAGTTCTTAAATTAATATATTGTTACAACAGTTGCTACTTATGAAGGTGCACAATGACAGTCTTTCCTCAGAGAGAATTGGGGCATTGTGTGAATATACTTATCTTTGTAGAGAGTCTCAGCGTTAGCTGTGGCTTATATGATGGACTAACGTGAATTTGACAAAGCCGTCCAGCAGACCCGGCTTTTCTAAAGAAAGCAAGGCTCTGTACCCAAACATGACATATAAGCAGTTCAATTAAAAAAAAAAACGCTTGCTTTAGTTTTCGACGTTTCTAGCGTTTTTTTTTTTTATTTAAAATTTACTGAATACGGGAGATTTGTTGCTATAACATCAGTTTGAAAGTCGCAAAATGACATTTTTTTCTGCAAAAAAATCGATTATAAATATAAAAAAGTTCTATGGTATATGTAACGTACTTGCTCATTTTACCTATTTTAAAATTAACAAAAAGAGTTTGAAATCATTACCAATATGTTGTCAATATAGCCTCTTGATAGTCACAAAATGTAAGGATATCGCTTCCTCTTTCAAAAAAATTTCTCGGGGGAGCATGCCCCCGAACCCCCCTAATTAAGGAATACATACCAAAATAGCTCACTTACGCCCCTGTCTTATTCAGAGTCATTGGTGGAATTCATTGCCCACACTGGTGAGAGATTCAATATCAGGTTCCTGAACCACTCGGCTGAATAGCCCCAGCAAAATCATAGAAGAGTTAAAAACCAACATAAATACATATTACATCACAAACTTACAGGCCTTTCAAAACATTTACCAAAATAGTGCTTTAACAAAACTTAGAATTCAAAATAGAAGTATGTTTTAGAAATATCAAAAACTTGGCATTTATTTCAAAAAAGCATTTTCAGGAAAACAGACATTTTTAATGTTTGATAAACTTTGTATGTTGTATCTTTGGGTTTTCCTTTTACAAATTTCTTCTAGAAAAATTGTCTTTGCCTTTTGATAGGTCTTCGGAAATTAAAGTAGGAACAAGTTTGAACAACTTTTTCTAATAAACCAATGCATGGATCATTCTACAAATACTTCAAACAGCGTCCTTGAATGGCAATCCTTTTTTGCCTGAAAATGATGATAAACAACTTGTAACCATGGTGATGGCTTTGGTGTTTGTATAGTTTTTGGTGTTTGTATAGTTTTTGGTGTTTGAATAGTTTTAGGTGTTTGTATAGTTTTGTTTTATCATCATTGTTTTCTACTTGTTTTACAGGCATTTAAAGATGTTCCGGCTTTAATTCACCACCATAAAAGTCATGATGTTATATTGTTGAATGTAAAAGAGAAGAAACAACATAAAACATTACTGAAAAAACACCCTATAAATATCAATGGGTAATTAGAGATGACAGAATGTTCCTGATAACATTTATTATAAATCAGGGGTTATAGCCCGACATTTGTTAACTGTATTGACTCATGTCTTATGTTAAATTAGAGTTGTTAAATATATTAGGCTTATCTACACATTTGATAATTTGAACAAGGACTTTTTATCTGGCATAAATTACGATTTCATCTGCATGATATTAAAGTGGCATTATGCTCATCCAACTGTAAATGGTGAGTTGTACGAGTAAAAATAAGTTTACATTTTGCTATAATTGTGTTCAATTTAATATAATCCCCATGCAAAAATAATCCATAGTTTATGTGACACAAAGGTGTTTCTGTAAATAGCGCTCGGATGTATCTGTAATGGTCAATTTTTAAAAAAGACTGGGGCAGTCTTTTTATGAAATAGGTAATTTTAATTTTTTTTATCCTTAAAATATTCCAATATCAATAACTGGTCAAATCACCTTTATAATAGTCAATATCTTGAAATGAAAACTAATTCAACTCAACTTGACAGCAAAAAAATGAGCATAATGTCACTTTAAATATGTAATACAAATGGTACAAAGGATCATTTAAATTACCATCCTTGAAATAGTATTGGCTTAAAATTCTTTTATTTAATTTGTGTTCATTAAAATGATTATTGATCTACAATAACTCCTTTTAAAAGAAAATAATTATGTGTGATTAGCTCTGAAAATGATTGGCATTAATAAAAAGATATTGTGCAAATTTTAATATATTTTAAAAAAGAAATGTAAAAAAGATTAACTAAACTGAAACAAAAACATATTTTGAATAAGTTTTTGACAAATTTTAGTTGTTGTAAGATTTTATATACATTGAGTTAGTTTAAGGGTAATTATATCATTACATATGTTTAATTAAGGTTTATTCTAGACTGTTTAATATGTACCAAATTATTTTAGTTTTGTTAAAAAATTGTTAGAGATTTTAATGTGATGAAAACTCCTTTAAAGTAGAAAATAAAATCTTGCCTTGTTCAGAATGACATAATGTAACACAACAGTGTTGGAACAAATATCTGAAAAAGCAACACAATGTAAAATAAAACATTTTTGATAGAACAAAATTATGTCTGTAGATATACAACACATAATAAACTGTAGCATTAGAACAATACAATGCCAAATAACTGTGTCGGAACAAATATATGAAAAGCAACACATTTTAAGCTACAATATAAGGACATCACAATGGAAACTACAACATTTGACAACACAATGTAAGCTACACCATTAGGACTACACAATGTAAGCTATACCATTAGGACTACACAACAAAAGCAACACCATAAGGACAACACAATGGAAACTACAACATTTGACAACACAATGTAAGCTACACCATTAGGACAACACAATGTAAGCTACACCATTAGGACTACACAATGTGTGCTACACCATTAGGACTACACAACAAAAGCTACACCATTAGGACTACACAACAAAAGCTACACCATAAGGACAACACAATGTTAGCTACAAAATTAAGACAACACAATGTAAGTTACAACATTAGGACTACACAACAAAAGCTACATCATAAGGACAACACAATGTAAGCTACAAAATTAAGAAAACACAATTTAAGTTACAACATTAGGACTACCTAATGTAAGCTACAAAATTAGGAAAACTGATGCTTAAGGACAGTTAAAGGTAAATCAACACATTAAAAAACAACAGTGTTGGAAGTAAACTTATGTAGAATAACTAAGTGTTGGAATAAATATAATATGTAAGATAAAACTTTACAAA